GAGTGAGAGTGAGAGTGTTCCACTACACATTGTGTGAGTGAAGTTTAGAGTGATAGAAAGTGTGTGTTATACTTTCTTGTATCCATCAAGCCTTGTCTTTGGCTTGGTAAGACTACTCTTGTTGTATTCATCTTTTTCATATAGTGAAGATTGATCCTTGTTTGGTGGACGTAGGCATAAATTGCCGAACCACATAAATTCTTGGTGTCCATTTTCTACTTTACCTTGTGCATTCTCTATCTTGTAGTACCGACATTCCTAACAAGTGGTATCAGAGCCCGGTTGGCTCGTACTGCGAGATGGAAGGAAGTGGCACTATGATCAAACTCACCAACTCCAATTGGGTAACATGGAAGCCAAGGATGGAGGACATTCTCTATTGCAAGGATATGCATGAGCCAATTGAAGGAGATGCCGCTAAGCCAGAGAGCATGTCCGATGCCGAGTGGAAGAAGATGAATCGCAAGGCTATTGGCACAATTAGACAATGGGTGGACGATAGTGTTTTTTCACCATGTGTCTAATGAAACCAATGCTCACGAGTTTTGGACAAAGCTTGAGTCCTTGTTCGAGAAGAAGACTCCAGCTAAGAAAGCCTTCTTGATCAAAGAGCTCATCAATGTGAAGTACAAGGATGGTTTAAGTGTAGCAGAACACTTGAACAATTTCCAGAATATCATCAACCAGTTGGCTACTATGAAAATGACGATCGAGGACGAGCTACAAGCGCTCTTGTTACTTGGATCCTTGCCAGACAGTTGGGAGACCTTTGTGGTGAGTATAAGTAACTCTGCTTCTAATGGTGTTCTTACCCTTGATAATGTTAAAAATAGCATGCTCAATGAAGAAACAAGGAGAAAGACTTCTGGCACAGATAGCAGCCAAGTATTTGTCACAGAGAACCGCGGAAGAAGCAAGAGTAGAGGACCTAGAGGTCATGGCAGGAGTCCTAGCCAATCCAAGTCAAGGTTTAGGGGTGCATGCCACCATTGTGGCAAAGAAGGCCATATGAAGAAAAATTGTCGAGTTTGGAAGAGAGAGCAAAGGGAAGGAAACAATCAGAAGAAAGATGATACTGGCAATACCACTGCTGTCATATGTGGTGATGTACCAGAAATATTGTATGTTGGTGAATGTCTGCATATGGGCAACTCTGACAGAGACATTGAATGGATCTTTGACAATGGAGCTTCCTTCCATGCTACGTCCAAACGGGAGTTCTTCAGTACATACAAAGAAGGTGACTTTGGCATAGTGAAGATGGGGAATGAAAGCTATTCCAAAATTCTTGGAATTGGTGATATATGTCTAAGAACTAATCTCGGCTGCCAATTGATGTTGAAAGATGTGAGACATATTCCTGATATACGTCTCAATCTGATATCCATCGGTACCCTTGATCGACAAGGATATTATCACCATATTGGCGAAGGAAAATTGAAGCTTACTAAAGGCTTAATGGTGGTAGCAAGAGCACGACTTTGTTGTACGTTGTACCGGTCAAATGCCAAGGTTTTGAAAGGTGAGTTGAATGCTGTGGAGGACTCATCTCTAGACTTGTGGCATAAGAGGCTAGGTCACATGAGCGAGAAAGGCCTACAGGTTTTGGCAAAGAAGTCTCACATTCCCTTTGCCAAAGGTACGTCGTTAAACTCTTGTGAGCACTGTTTATTAGGAAAACAAAGAAGAATTAGTTTTTTCGATTCCATCTACAAAGAAAGGAAACTTGTTAGATCTTGTTTATTCAGATGTGTGTGGTCCCATGGAAGTCGAGTCACTTGGAAGAAATAAATATTTTGTTACTTATATTGATGATGCTTCACGAAGGGTGTGGGTGTATTTGTTGAAATCCAAAGACCAGGTGTTTCAGACATTCCAGGAGTTCCATGCCATGGTGGAGAGGGAAAACTGGGAAACCTCTCAAGTGCCTTCGTAGCGACAACGGCGGCGAGTACACATCTCACCAGTTTAGAGAGTATTGTGTAAAACATGGCATACGTCATGAGAAAACAGTTCCTGGAACTCCACAACATAACGGTGTTGCTGAAAGAATGAACCGAACCATCATGGAGAAAGTCAGGTGTATGTTGAGGACTGCAAAGTTATCTAAGCAGTTCTGGGGTGAAGCTGTAAGGACAGCCTGCTATTTGATCAACCGATCTCCATCAGTACCATTAGGTCTTGATGTTCCAGAGAGAGTATGGACTGGTAATGATGTGTCTTACTCTCATCTGAAGGTGTTTGGTTGCAAAGCTTTTGTGCATGTGCCCAAAGAGCAGAGATCGAAGTTAGACTACAAAGCTACACCGTGCATCTTTCTTGGTTATGGCGGTGAAGATTTTGGTTACAGATTATGGGACCCATACCAGAAGAAGTTTATCCGAAGTAGAGACGTGGTCTTTTATGAAGATCAAACAATTGGGGATTCGGATAAAGAGGCACAACCAGATGGCGCAGTCAGAGGAGTTGATCCATTAGCTTCAGATGAAGAAAGTCACGATGACATCCCTGAAGCAACTGCCAATGAAGTGCCTGCAGAACCAGATAATGCTGATCAGGAGGAGCCTGATCAAGATGTGCCAGACCATGAGATTGCTGATCAGGTGGAGCCTAGTCAAGAAGAGCAGATTCAAGGAGAACCCAATCAGGGGGAGCCTCCAGCCCTACAAGAGAATGAAGATCAGGTCAGAAGATCCATCAGACGTCGAAGACCGTCTACCAAGTATTCTTCATCAGAGTATATCATGTTGACTAATTATGGAGAGCCTGAAACATATGAGGAGGCCAGAGCTCATAACGACAGTGACAAATGGATGAAGGCAATGGAGTCGGAGATGGATTCCTTATCAAAGAATGATACCTATGAGCTGGTGGAGCTTCCAAAGGGCAGGAAAGCATTGAAAAACAAGTGGGTGTTCAAATTGAAAAGAGACGACAACATGACAAGGTACAAGGCTCGTTTGGTTGTCAAAGGTTTTGGTCAAAAGAAAGGAGTTGACTTTGATGAGATTTTCTCACCGGTGGTGAAGATGACTTCCATTCGAGTTATCCTTGGTATGGCAGCAAGCATGGATCTTGAGCTCGAGCAGTTAGATGTTAAAACTGCATTTCTCCACGGCAATTTAGAAGAGGAGATATACATGGAGCAACCCAAAGGCTTTGAAGTCAAAGGTAAAGAAAATTTGGTGTGCAAGCTTAAGAAAAGTTTATATGGTCTTAAGCAGGCTCCGAGACAGTGGAATAAGAAGTTCAACTCATTCATGGTGAGTAATGGGTACAAGAGAACTCATGCTGACTCTTGTGTCTATATCAAACAATTTTCTGGAGGTACATTCATCATCTTATTGCTTTATGTTGATGACATGTTGATTGTCGGACAAGATGCTTCTATGATTAAAAAGCTCAAAGAAGAGTTATCTAAGTCCTTTGACATGAAGGACTTAGGGCCAGCCAAGCAGATTTTGGGCATGGAGATAATTCGTGACAGAAAATCCAAGAAGTTGTGGCTGTCACAAGAAAAGTATGTTGAACGGGTGCTTGAAAGGTTCAACATGAAAGCAGCCAAACCGGTAAGCTCACCTTTAGCCAATCATATCAAGTTGAGCAAAGAGTCATGTCCAAAAACATATGAAGAAAAGGAGAAAATGGCAGTTGTTCCCTACTCTTCAGCAGTAGGAAGTATCATGTATGCAATGGTGTGCACACGGCCAGATATTGCTCATGCAGTAGGTGTGGTGAGCAGGTTTCTCTCTAATCCAGGGAAGGACCACTGGGAAGCTGTTAAGTGGATTCTCAGATATTTGAAAGGGACTTCTAAGATGTGCTTGTGCTTTGGCGGTTCCAAACCAATCTTGGAAGGATTTACAGATGCTGACATGGGAGGTGACCTGGATGGTAGAAAATCTACGTCTGGGTACTTGTTTACTTTTGCAGGGGGAGCCGTGTCTTGGCAATCCAAGTTACAAAAGTGCATTGCTTTGTCCACAACCGAGGCTGAATACATAGCCGCTACAGAAGCATGCAAGGAGTTGTTGTGGCTGAAGCGGTTTCTCCAAGAGTTGGGTTTGAAGCAAAGTGATTATGGCGTTTATTGTGATAGTCAGAGTGCTCTGGACTTGAGCAAGAACACTACATATCATTCACGCACTAAGCACATTGATATTCGTTATCACTGGATTAGAGACGCTATCGAGAACAAGTTGCTGCAGCTGAAGAAGATTCATACCGATAATAATTCTTCAGACATGTTGACAAAGGTAGTCACAAAATCAAAGTTGGAATTCTGCATTAAGGCTGCTGGGATGAACTCCAGGTAACTTGGAGTCATGATCGGAATTCCTCCCTCATGGACTGGAGGGGGAGATTGTTGGTATATGGTCCAGCCCATGATCAATGTTCTAGATTATTCTAGTAAGCAAGAGATGAGGCTGGAACTTGCTAGACAATTCTAGAATGTTATTAAGTTGATGGAAGAAGTTAGAGAGTACTAGCTTCCTTGGTTGCAAATGGAAAGATCTAGAAGCTACAAGTATATGGCTAGTCTAGATTTTTCTATACTAGAGGTTTGAAGAAGGAACTAGAAACTAGTAGAATGCCAAGCCCTCACCTATAAATATGGGTGTGATGTAACCAATTGAGAACCAAGAGTGAGTAGCAAAGGATCAAGTCCAAAGCTAGAGTTCCACTCCAAGAGTGAGAGTGAGAGTGTTCCACTACACATTGTGTGAGTGAAGTTTAGAGTGATAGAAAGTGTGTGTTATACTTTCTTGTATCCATCAAGCCTTGTCTTTGGCTTGGTAAGACTACTCTTGTTGTATTCATCTTTTTCATATAGTGAAGATTGATCCTTGTTTGGTGGACGTAGGCATAAATTGCCGAACCACATAAATTCTTGGTGTCCATTTCTACTTTACCTTGTGCATTCTCTATCTTGTAGTACCGACATTCCTAACAACTGCAAGATTGGGAAAATCGATGCCGCCCTTTCTTTATTTGATAAAATGCCTACCGAGGATTGTTTGCCAAACTCATATGCCATCACTGCCTTGATACATGGGCTATTCAAAGAGAGAAAATTGATGGAAGCATCCTCAGTCATGGAAACAATGTTAAATATAGGTGTGAAGCCTACAGTCCCTCATTACAATATTTTAATTAATCGTGTTCTGAAAGAAGGTGAATTTGATCATGCTCATGAGCTTCTCAATAAAATGGTTTCTGTCGGTAACCAACTTACTGTAATTACTTACAACACATTTATTCAGGCATATTGCGTGCTTGGGAATATAAAGGAAGCAGAGAAGGTGATGATTAAGATGAATGTAGAAGGAATTTCTGCAGATTCATTGACTTACACATTTTTAATTGATGCATATGTGCGTATGGGATTAATTGATTGTGCTTTTGATGTTCTTAACCGCATGTTTGATTCTGGTTGTGAGCCTTGTCGTCGTACCTATTCCTTTCTAATCAAATATCTCTCAAATGAAAAGTTGGTCATGACAAACAGTAAAGCAGTGGGTCTCGATATCATGTTAAATGTCTCTGGCAATATTACTCATATATGGAAGACCATGGATTTTGAAATTGCTTTGGAGCTATTTGAGAAGATGGTTGGACATGGTTGTGCTCCCAATATGAACACTTATGGCGAGCTTATAGTAAGATTTTGCAAAGACAGAAACTTGCAAGTAGCTCAGAGGTTATATAATCATATGAGAGATATGGGTATTTCTCCTAACGAAGGTATTTATAATTCTCTTGTTAATTATTGCTGTCAGATGCAAGTATACGGAGAGGCAGCAATGCTAGTGCATACTATGATTGAGCATGGTTATTTACTAGCATTGGAGTCATGCAAGTTGCTTGTATGTGGACTTTTTGATGAAGAGGACGACGAGAAGGCTAAGGCAGTTTTTTGTAGTATGCTTCGCTGTGGGTATAACTATGATGAAGTTGCTTGGAAACTTCTCCTTGATGGTTTGGTTAAGAGGGGCCATTTAAATAGAGGATCAGAGCTGCTAACAATCATGGAGAAGATGGGTTGCCAGCTTCATCCGGAGACAAATAGAATGTTGACCAAGGGACTTAATGGAACATGATAATGATCCTCAATGTTGTATTTAAAAAGAATTGGATGTTGCAAGGGGCTTGTAGCTCAAGTGGTTTCGAGTGTTGAACCCTGCACCCGAGGTCTTGTGATCAAATTCCCTCCCTCCCCCAACATTGCTTGCATCAGAAAAAGAATTGGATGTTTTTGTCACACAAGAAGCCTTACAAACTGTGAATTTGATGTTGTGCCCTAGCTTCAGTGCTTACACAAAGTTTACAAGCATTTGTGAAGATCATGAGGCAAGTTTGTATTTAAAATCTCAGATTCATTTTGTTAGACGTCCTATTGTTTATTGTGCTTTGTATTTTTTTTAATTTTTTCTAACTCAAATCCATGCATCACGTTTCACTTGTTCAATGAGTAAATTATCTCTATTTCTGAAGCGAACTTACGAATGAAGAGTTAAAATTTCATAATAAACTAGTGACAAATGGACAATTAGTTTGGCAAACTATTAAAAAGGAAACGAAAGTGGATTAGTGATATTTAATAAACCTACCACCTAATAAACCTTCCTTGGAAAACTATATATTACTTTCTTTTTCTGATTCATACATATCTTATCTGACACACTTCCTAATAACTTTACATTTTGAGCGTGAACAATCTGGAGTTTGTACTAGAGCCTGCCAATGCACGTAAGCACACACACATATGTATGCATGTATGTATGTATATGCATATGAAGCTATACATTCTGATCCGTAGATATGTTTTGCAGGGTACAGCTAGAAGGTTACCACTTGGTTCAAGAGAAAGCATTAAAGCAATATCAGTATCGTGTGCACCATAAGTGTGTTAAATATCTTCCAATTCTTTGGGGCTTCATCAGTATTTTGTGCACCATAAGTGTGCTACTAAAGGTAAAACCCAATCTTTTGTTTCATTAAATTCAGCTCCATCGTTGTCGTTTGGTGCTCCATTACTCCATCTCTGTTTGCTAAGGAAGTGGAGGCAAATAAATGAGTTTGAATGGGTTTGAGGTTTTAAATTTGTCTTGGTGTCTTACTCTTTCGATTGTAGATTTATTTGGGTTGCTTTGGTTAAGTATCAAGTAATTTAGTGCCTTTAAATTACCAAAGCTTAATTTCATTTGATTTTAGATGGAAAATTTGAAATCATATTGAATTAAAACATTTCTTCAGTATATCCCTGGCTAAGAATTAAAATTAAATAAATAAATTACTGGTCAAGGTAAACAAATTTATTAGCTTATAATTGAGATAAACTCATGTATAGAAATCTAGCCAGCAAGTTCTGAGAGTAATGATACCTTTTGATACCTAATTTACTCAAATCTGTTATTTCCCTTACGAATAATTATCCTCGTTCTTCTCTTTCAGTACATTTCAAAATAACAAGTTTATCATTTTAACAAATTTTTGTTTTGCTGTTGTAAATCACCATTTTCCATCAAATTAACCATCTGCCAGCTTTGTCGGCAATCTGCGAATCACAGGATCAAACTTGAACAATCTTTTCTAAGAGACTGTCCCGCTTGCTGGAAAACAATACATACACCACCAGGAGAAGAGGCTTTCCATCAATAACAGTTTCGTTTCGCTTGTAAATCCGTCCATCGGAGCCTATTGATCCTTAACTTTTGATTGACAATGTCTTTTCTCAGAGAGAAGCTGCGATATATTGTCTGCCCGCCAGCAGTTAGAGAACATAATTCAGCTTCCCAGCAGCGAGTTGAAATGGAAGGATATAACCATCAGTAAATTGGATTTCACCAAGTCTCCAGTAAAGGTATTTATTCAAACAATCCATCATCAGAAACTAATCAAAGTTCCTAAGCAAATCATAAAATTCATGAGTCAATAAGAAGATCTTTATACTTTTTGGCAGAGATGGCTGATTCGAGGACATGTTCGGCGCCAACTATGGACTTGATCAAAGCGCCATTGAAGCCACTCAAAATGGTCAACCTATTTGTGTAGAAATCACCGGCATCAACTATGGAACGAGTTTGAAAACACCAACTGTGGCACCACATCCCCATACCCTTTCTCCTTAAACCTGCTCTTGATTGCCTCGTAATCACTCTCCCATCTAATCCTCGAAGCCTCATCTAAGATCGTGCTCTTGTATGGTAAATATTTAAGGGCATCAACTGAAAGTGAGGCCTTCGCTTTCTAGGGCTCCTCATCCAGTTTGGACACCCACTCTCAAAGCCAGAGCCACATCCTTGTCTCGGTCAGTCAATATTGCTCGATCATTGCCTTCCACTGAAGCTCAGCCACTTCAAGCAAGTCGTAATCTCTCACATAGTGCATGATCTCATGAGGAAGCAGGGCACGGGCGGATATCATCTTGGAGTTGGAGTTGCCGCCTGAGGCCCCTTCAAACACTTCTGAGGCAAGCAGGAGCAGGGCTCTTGCTCAAATGAGAGAATACAATCTGCATCAATGTCAGTTCTATGAACACATTTTAAGGGGTCCACATCTCCTCCATCAGCCGCATGGAAGGGAAATAATCGGCAGCATTGGTTATCCAAATTGAAAGTGGTTCTTGTACTTCATCATGTTGTGATCATCATCGTTTAAGCGATTGAAGCAGTGCTCAAAAATATCATAAATCCGCTAGTGGAACGAGTGAGAATTCTCCACCGCCTTGTGGTTGTATTGGCAGCTGTCTTTTTCGAGTTCTGGAAGGCGAACGCGGCTGAGGATCTTGAGAACATCGTCTGAAATTGCCGAAAAGTCAGCAACAGGGAGGAGGTCGGAAGCAATGGTCTTCGAGTGGTTCTGGTGGAGCAAGTACGCCGCTGTGTAGAAGGCTTCTTCATACTTCTCTTTGCCAAGCACGCATTGACTATCACTGTCACTGTATAGGAGGTTAAAAATGAGCTTGCAAGTTGGTGGTGGTGGTGGTGGTGGTTGATGCGAAATATATAAGCACACAAATTAAACCATTTTTTTATCAATTGTAGCAAAATACGTAAGTAGGGATCGTTCTAGGCCGGGGATTAGGAGGGATTGCAAAATCACTTGGAATTGACTCAAAAACGTAAACAAGTTTAAAACACTAACTAGACTCAAAGAATGTAAAACTATAACTTAAAACACCAAAACAAACCAAAAGACTCAAAATAACACAAAAACACTCAAACCTGCCTTAAAACCACTTTCTGGGCAGTTTTGAACTCTAAACAAGATTTTGACGAAAATAGGTTTTAACTTGACTCAAAACACTTAAAAACACAAACTAACACACTTTCTAACTAATTTGACACTTGAAAACAAAGGGGGATTTGGTTTTTACGAAATTGAAAACAAAATATAAACTTGTAAATCAAAACAGATTTTAAAACGAATTTGGTTTAAATGAATGGATGGAAAGCTAGCTAAGGGGTTCATCTCCACACATGTTATACTTGCATTCAAAACGATTTCCAATTGCTTTTCAATAACCCATGAATTCTCAACGCCCCAAGTTAATTAGGTCCGCTTAAATTAACCTTCAGATTTTCCTAACGTTATTGAATTGGATGATTGCATACGACAACCCAAAGCATTCCCCACAAGTCCCCTACATGATTGCATAATAGAGATACAAGCAAGAATCATTAAGTTCTATGAAAACCATAAGCATTGACGAAGCACTTGTTACTATGATTGCATGAAACTTATGCCAAGAATTTACTTAACGCGATTGAGATCATCAACCTTTACTACTTGTGAATATAAGTCCATAACGATTAGGTGAAATTTCCTTTTATCCTAGCATTCAATTTATGCATGATACTTAAGCGTGCACTCTCAACCAACACACACAAATCAATGTAATTCTCATAGATAAGTAAATTGAATTCACAACTTATGAAACGCAATTAGAAGTAATCAAATCATATCGCAAGTATAAACATATATTTCGAATCCCCCCCTAGCCAAGGGGGGAGTTTAGTTCCTCATACACACAAAACAAAGAGAATTGAATTTAAACATTGAAATCAAAGGAAAAGAAACACCTAGAAATTCCAGCGACGCGAACTTGAATTGCATGAACTTCCAAGCTTCCTTCTCCTCCTCCTTGGTGCGGCAAAGGGTCTAGGGACAGGTTTAGGGCCTTAGGTGTATGGATGAATGGTTATGGAAGGATGTAGTAGTGTTTAGGGGAAGGGGATGGTGCGGCAAGAACTTAAAAACTAGGGAGAAGGGTGTTTGGTGGTTGCGGCAAAGGTGTGGAGAGGTTTGGGCGAATTTCTGAATTTGTGGAGTGAATTATGAATGTGAGAGGTGGTGAATTCGGCCAAAGGGGTTTATGAGTATTTATAGGCACTTAAAAACCCTAGGTAAATCAGATATGGACTTGAATAACCCAAATCCACAAGGAAAGAGGCTTAAAAATCAGATTTAAAAGGGGAAAAGACTTCCTAGGTGCGGCAGGTTTAGATAAGGTAAGATAAGGCTTCTAGAAAGCCTTGCAAGGCAAGGAAATAGGTTCTAGATAAGGTTATGCACGGCAAGGAAGGATAGGGTTTCTAGAAACCCTCCAAAACAAGGGAAAATGCACGGCATACTTCTAAGACAAGGATAAGGTGTCCTAAAGTGTTTGGGACTCCTCTTTCTTCTTGGAAACCTTCTCCTTCTTCAACTTGGAATACTTCTTTGTTGCTGAAAATCAAGGCCAATTAGGGTTCACTTTCCCACTTCAAGTAGGAAACCTTGTTTGAGTAGGAAACTTCATTCGTCTAGGAATCCATCTTCAACTAGGAATCCTTGATTGATTAGGACACCTTCTTGGACTAGGATTTCATCTTCAATTTGGCTCTTTCCTACTTCAACTAGGAATCCTTGCTCAAGTAGGAATCATCATCTTCAAATCTTCATTTTCGTCCAAACCCTTGGCTCCAAATATGTGATATCCAATCCAAGCTCCATTTTGCTCCAAAAGGCTCCAAATTGCTTCTTTTTATGTAATATGCCTTTAAAACCTGAGAACACAAGAAACTAGCTTAAAAGACTACTTTACTAAGGAAAAACA